TACAGCGCTCTTTTGTTCAGCGCTCTTTTGTTACAGCGCTCTTTTGTTACAGCGCTCTTTTGTGCAGCGCTCTTTTGTTACAGCGCTCTTTTGTTACAGCGCTCTTTTGTTACAGCGCTCTTTTGTAACAGCGCTCTTTTGTGCAGCGCTCTTTTGTTACAGCGCTCTTTTGTGCAGCGCTCTTTTGTTACAGCGCTCTTTTGTTAAAGCGCTCTTTTGTGCAGCGCTCTTTTGTGCAGCGCTCTTTTGTGCAGCGCTCTTTTGTTACAGCGCTCTTTTGTTACAGCGCTCTTTTGTGCAGCGCTTTTTCATTACAGAGCCACCCGTGAGAGCTGATGTCAGGTAATCGTACTTGTTCATAATGTCCATCTCTTCCAAGATTGCATTAAGCAGTACGGTTTTACCTGAGCCCCTCGCCCCCGTCAATATATTTAGAGTCGACGGCCATAAAGTCGGCGGCGAATAACATTTGCTCTTATTTCAAATCTTGAATTCGGATTTTGCCGCCGCGGTCGGTTTCGACGCATCGCCTTCCATAGTGACATCTACTTAGTCATCGTCGCCGATGATTTCGTCTACGTTACTATCGTCCGCAACGTCATATTCGTCCACGGAGTGCTCGTCGTCTGAGAAATCTCGGATCCATTCCTTACTGATGTCCCAATTTGAGAATTTCGACGAACATTCTCTCATAAACGTTTCGAGTTCTTCCAAAAGAACGCAAAACTTGGCGCAGCGCAAAAACCGAGGTGTTCTTTCACGTTGAGGATCGTTTTGGCAACCTCGACGACATATCCGGAACTTCTTTAATATGCCGTGAAGGAATCAATGGATCCCCCATCACGCGCAGCCTAACTGCCACGAGATATGACCCAGACAACCCCATAGTTTTCGGTCCCCCATACACGAATTTACCTCTCTATTTTGAACCCCCATGAACACCTTCCACATCCCAAAACCTGCTAACCACACTCCAAGTAAATTAAAAACCTATCCAATGCACAGCTAAAATCCACTCGTCGAGACAAAATTAGACAAGGAAATCTGGCGATAATGCCAACAGCCAAGTCTAAAGCAGGAGACTGGCAATCCTGACAACGGTCTAAAATTCTATCATCAGTTCTTCGGAAAATTCCAACCAGCCAGAGATTTAGTGTGTATTTAACTCCTCTATCGCTGGCTATGAGGAAACCAACTTGTCTAATTAACCATCAAACACCTCCATTTCGACCAACAAATCTAGGCACAAATAGCCCAATTTAGCTGCAAACATGCATATCCCAATCCCGGTAAATTCTTGCACCCAACCCCCCCAACCCTCATTCTCTAACATCCCAAAAATTCCACATCACTTGCACCAAAACCATTACCTAGAGGCTCATCAGGCCTCAAGATTGGTCAGGGTGCAGGGTTGTAGAACCCCTTTTATTCTTACCCGCGCTCACGTGCACCCATCCTCAAAGCTCACTTAATATTGGTAGTGACGCTGCGTCCAGTGGACCCGAACGCCCAAAGGGCACAACTTTTTTGCTTTTTACACATAAAATTAATGATAAGCAGGGTTTTTCGGTGCTTCTCCCCGCAGAAGGGCGCTGGCGCTCTGCAACCCAAATCTGAGCAAACCACCCATACCCTCAGACAGGCCACTGTAGTGACCTAGTGCGCGCTATTCGTGGTATTCACCAACGACTCTAGGGTCACAAAAGCGACGTTTAAGGGAAACCAGGAAACGCCGAAGAAAGGTACCGAACAAAAATAGGATCAGGGGCTCGATAGGTCAACAACATCGACCGGGGCTAGAGATCGCGCACTGTACGCTAGGCGTGCAAGTGTGCGGCGGCGTGCAGCGTCACGCTGGAGTTTTAGCCTCAAGTAGTCTTTGTCCTAGGATTAGTAATTGTTTGTAAATATTTAAGTTAAGGGGCCCCAGCCCGGTTAGCTATAAGTATTTATTGTACATATTGAATTAATTTAAATAAAGAGATTTTGAGTTCGAGTTTGAGTTTGAGTTTAATATGACAGGCCATCCTACCCGGCCGCCCATAGAACGTTTCGTGGTTCCTTTGAAAGGACGTGCATCAGCATTAAAGCGAACACATCCCTGAGATGTTGGGAGCCCAAACAAGAGTGGAAAATAAGCTAATTAACAACGATATATAAGAAAGTGGGATGGAAACCGATGCGAGAACCACCGAGGAATTGCAGTACCAAATACGCTGAGCAGATTGTATGGAAAACTTATAAAAGTCAGAATAGAAAACGAGTCAAAGATAGTGAGGCAGAAGAACTGGCCGGTGTTAGAGCAGGAAGATCAACTGTAGACCATTTATTCAGTTTGACCCAGGTAATGGAAAAAAAACTAGCGTATAACCAAGAACTCCATTTACTTTTTGTAAATCTAAAGAAAGCATATGACAATGTTCCGCTGAAAAAGCTTTGGGAAGCACTGGAAAAGACCGATAATAACTTAGAACCAATAAACCAGTAAAAACGCTCTATAAAGATGCAAAGACCAAGAATAAACAGGGAAACATAATCAGTGAAGGCTTTATAGCAACTAAAGAACTTAAATAGGGTTGCTTCATATCACCAATACTTTTTAAAATATACTTAAAACAACCGCTTAAGGGGTGAAACACAAATGCAGACACATGAGAATACCGCTCAATGAATACAATCTATACTTTGCAGATGATCAATAATTGCACAGGACTATGATGACTTAGAGTACATTGTACATGTTACGAAAATTGATAGAGGAATACGAAAAAATGAGGTTTGGAAGTAAATCTAACTGAAACAGAATATATGACTATAGGAGGTGAACAACGAACTCTGAAATTGAATAACCGACAAGAAATAAAACAATGTACTGAATACAAATATTTGGGCATGAAAATCTCACATGAGGGAATCCTAGACGAAGCAATTAAAGATCGGAATATAGGACGCAAGGCAATATCCCTACTAAATGGTGTACTGTGGTATCAAAATATCAACAAAACTAACAAAACGAGAATATACAACACCATAGTCAAAAGCATAGTCACGTATAGTTCAGAAGTCTGGCTTCTGGAATCTTAGAATTAGGGAGATTATGGTCGTAAAACACACAATACTAGATGATATCAAGGACAAACAGCAGAATGGCAGATACAAGAATATCCAAGCAAATAATTGAGTGGAGCCAGGGGGAAGAAGAAGACGCGGCAGACCAATCAGCTGGAGAAGTTGAGTAGACGACGAAATGAAAGACAGGGGCTTAGAAGAGGATGCCTGAAATGAAAGAGATGGTTCGAGATCGGGAACTGGAAGACGTGGAACGTTATAAACCGATAATTATATATATATCCAACTTACACCTCAAGAAGTTGACCTCTCCGCATGGGAGAGCCGCGTCTCTTTACGTTTCCGGTAATAAAGAAACCGTTTTTAAAAAATTAACTTTAATTTAAAAATTACAACTTCAGAAATAATAAAGCAAAAGTACTTGTGAACAGCTCAAAGTCTATGTCTAATCTGAAAGTTAAAAGTTTATTCGCATGGGGCATCCTGGTTTCAAGCTTACACAGTTCTCAAGAAACTGCTTAGGTCGGCGATGCAATGGTCAGCATGTTCCCACGAATGGCACACATAACTGTCTTCTTGTAGTATCTTCACAGCGAACTCGACGCCATAGTAACAGGGCGGTCTATTGCCTACGTATACTCCAGCAATGGTTTCCTTGCGGGAATACTGCATGCCAGACTTGGCAGCCGCACTTTTACGTCCTGAAATTTGAAACTACTACTATCCTCGTCCTTTTTATCACGAGGCTTTACACACAAGATGATCTCTCGAACCTCCCTATTCTGCGCTCTAGCCCTCAATTTTTCCTTCTCGAAAATGTCCCCAGCGTTTTTGAAAATACGCATAATACTTATTTTCCTAACAAGTGCGCAAATTGATACTTTCCCGCACGAAAAAGCAATTAGACGAACGACGCGAAGCGGAGATCGGATAAGCTTTAAGTTGGAACAATACTTTTTCTAAGAGTATCTTAAAAAAAGTAGACTTAAACTTTTTAAAATATGTAGTAAAACAATACCTCAAAATCTCCAAAAATCGTTTAAAATCTATCGGAATTCCTCGAAATTGCTATTTTAAATTAAATCCCCAAAAATCTTTCAACATATATCTTCTGGAATTTCTAGAATATTTCATGAAAGTCTCTTAAATCTCAAATAACTGTTAAATCTGAATTCTAGAAATTCCTAGTAGTACAGGGTGGTCCAATTTGGACATCTTCGATAGGAATATAGGAAACGTCATGTTTACTAAGCGCTAAATTCAACTAAAACCCTTAATTTTGGATATTAGGGAATTATTGAAGGGCATAAAATGCCAGGCAATAATAACGCTAGGCGTTTGACGTTTTTAAGACGTGCGCGTTGTGGAAGTACTGTTTATTTTTAGTGCCGCCATAATAAAGTTTGTGCATGTCACTATTTGTGGAAAATAAAAACATCACAAATCTAAAAAGCTCAAAATAGATAGTGATCTAATCGTGGCTCTATACAAGGCAAAATCATTTCAAGAATATGGAAATACTATTCATAACATTGGATATTCTCCGTTTTTTGTTTATTATTGGACTAAAGCCCAAAAAATGATGTATCGTAAATATTGCGAAAATAATCAAAAGCGAATTAGCATCAATAGCACTGGTGGCGTGACAAAAAAAAAACTATCCTGACCATTTAAATTCCAAGTCAATTTTTCTATATGAAATCGTCAATAATTTTCATAGGCAATATTCTGTTGGATCAATGTTAACTGACAATCATTTAGCATTGGCTATACAGAACTGGCTAAATGTTTGGTTTCAGTTGGAGCAAGCCCCTCTGAAATTGTGGTTGACATGTCTTTAGCATTAACGTGTGACAGTATTTACGCGTTACAAGTCTTTGGAAGATTATTTAGACAGCTGTTACAAAATTATATTTGAAGATAGCCAAAGTATGCCTGACATTTTCATAAGAAATGATGTTGCTCATATTATCAAATTGATGTCTTCCTCGGATTGCTCAAAAAAAGCGAATAGTTTAACGGAACCGTTTTACATAAGAGCTTTGGGGCTACTAAAACAATGTAATGACATTGATGATCCTAAAAATATCTTGGAAGTTTTATTTGTTGTTGCACGTTCTGATACAGAAGGGTTAAATGATGCAGGCACAGCTACAAATTGTGAAGAGAAAAAAATGGCTCTTACAAAGAATTGTGACCGGTACAGTAGAATCATCAGTTAGTGATCAATGGCTTAGTTCAGACCAATTTCATAGTACTGTTCAACGCGACAGAACAAACTAATTTGAAAAATAATTTTACTTCATGGGTAATCGCATCTACAGCTGAAAATATTGCGAATCAACCTGAAGAGATCGGTCATAGAGGCAACCGGCAGGTTTTACCAGAATTTGTGAGTAAAGTTCTCAAAATATCAGCTACTCTCCCAATGTGGGCAGCTTCAATGTGTCAGTACTATCCATTTTCAAAGAGAATGGGTTCTTCAGCCTCCTCGGAGAGTAATTTCAACCAAGTGAAAAACAGACTATTTAGTGATAAGCAACTTTCCCTAAGAGCTGATGATTTCGTTTTGGAATATGTGAGATGGGCGAATAGATATTTCACAGTAGTATCATCTCGATCTTAAAAACAGGTGAATATATTTATTTGTGTTAATTACTAATACTCTTTTTCTCTATTTCATTCCATTTTCATCATTTCATCATTCATTATCTCATTTTCATCCATTTGCATTTTCGAGCAAGACCTCCAAAATAATACAGAATTTATCACTAAGGCGGTAAAAAGGTAAATAGAAAGAAAAATTGACAAAATAAAAAAAATGTACTCTGAACCGAATGCAGATGGTTTCGAATCAGACAATTCTGATATTTGTAGAAATTCTGCATCTGAATCTTCCAGAAAATTTAAATCTATAGATACAAATAATGATATTGGTAAGTTCTTTACTATACAGGTGGACTCTTTAGTGAGACAAAGTACGGTATCTTGTTTATTATAAAAAAATATATACACACATGCTCAAAATATAGGGATAAAATTGGATATCTAGGCCAAATTTAAACTCTGATAACATTCTAATTATGATTTGGTGGCCAGCAAAACGACTTGAATTTTATTACCTGCACTTGACCCATGAATGTTATCAAGAAAACGTTGTTAAAACTCTCAGGTAGGTACTTAAAATATTTTTAAAAAAATTGCATTTTTTCCCAAACGTACTACAAAACTACATATGCTACAATAACTTTATAACGCCTTTAGAAACTGAAAAGCACAACGAAATGCTTTGTTATTTGATAAACTTATTGTGATTAAAATTAAGGTTAAATTTTTTTCCCCTAATTTTAAGCATGAGTGTATAAATAATATGTCTCATATCAAAGTTTTAGAGGGTTCTAAAATAAAAAAAAATAAAAAAATAAAAAATAGATGTCATAATGTTAAAAAAAGTGATTCGGCTACAACAAAAGAAAACAATTGTATCGCCACGAGATCTGTCTAACGACTGGTTTATTGTTTATTACGCAGGAGCATACGTCAAAAAAGGTAAGTAAGGTTCACAGTCGAGAAGAAAAAATGATTGCAATTCGCTACAATAGTTGGAGCCATACATCAAGTGAGTCTACAGTGACTCTATTACCCACAGTGGCGACAATAATTGCTGCCTTATTTTTGATTGGTTTTAAAATCCCATATATTTATATTGAAAACGCCGTCATCTTGTTCCTACCTATTGCTTATTTCAAATATGAATATATGGGATTGAGGTGAACATCCATCATAAAACATGGAAAACAAAGTATTTGATGGACCTAATAATAGTCATCAAATACGTCGATTTCAATTTTTTAGCTGTTCAGAATCAAAACCAAGACAAAACAGAAGTTACTTGTTTTAAATGTGGAAAATTAGGACACTACAGAAACCAATGTCCAGAACTTAAGAAGAATTGCTCTTAATGCAGTATTTTTGAGTGGACATTTCGGTAATTCTGACTGGTATGTGGAATCTGATTGCAGCTCGCACCTGATAGGTCGAAAAGATTGGCTTGAAAATATTCACAGTGATTCTACGATTAGAGAAATCACAGTAGCAAACAATGATAAATTGAAGGTGGAATGTGCAGGTGACATTAACATTATTACAAATGCAAACAATGCAAGAAATTCTGCAAAAATTCACAATGCACATTATGTACCTGGTTTAATGACTAATTTAATGTCAGTGAGCCAAATGATTAGAAATCATAACAGAGTGGCTTTTCATGACTCTGGTTGCGATGTGTATGATGCCCGAAATCAGCTGATTGCTACAGCAAGCTTGATAGACAATGTATACAAGCTGAAAATTGAATCTTCAGAAGCAAAATTAGCAGGATTAGCAGTATCTGGGCAGACATGGCACAGAAGGTTTGGTCATTTATACCATAAAGATTTAATTAAAATGAAATATCATGTTGAAGGATTTGAATGCAAGAATATTTTGGTGAAAGAGGATCTTTGTGAAGTCTGTTGCGAAGGAAAGCAGACCAGATTGTCTTTTGGGAAGGGAAGTAAAGCATGTTCAGCATTGGAAGTCATTCATGGCGATACAGTTGTTTTCTTTCGTTGAACCCGAATCACGTTTTTTAACACATAATCATATTTGATCGAATCTATATTATCAGGAGTAGTTTAATATGGCACAATGCACGGACAGGAAAAACGTGTGAGATATGTAAGCTTTCTCTGCTTCACAAAAAATATTTCAACCAACTTGAGAGCGCATCAACACAGAACACATATGATAAGTGACAAAACTGAAATATACGCGAATGCAGAACTAATGGGATGTTTGTTTCATTACCAAAAAACATGAGAAAGTATTTAGGAGAATTGCATCCTCTCCGAAGGTATAATACAGATGCCGATTTTGCTATGTAGGCTCGCATAGTAACGTCTTTAGCTTTTCTGCCGACGGATCATTTGGCCATTGACGAATTGTCTAATGCGGGAGTAACTACGACTCTCTTAAATACTGGCGGGGGTAACTATGAGTCTCTTCTCGACTGGGAAAGGCTGAAGACCTCCAGCTAACGAATGGAAAACCACAGATCCAATAAACCATGCTACTAGTATTGAACTCATGCAAAGCGAGCGACGAGTGGACGTAAACCATTCGCGTTCGCCTTTGTTTTTTAAGTCGTCATTACAAAATGTGGTTCGGCAGAACATACTATAAGAACAGCAGTCTGAACCATGGACGTGCCATACTAGACGCCTCCTCGTGGCGACCGCTCCATCCCTAAGATAGGATGGTCGCTAAGAAGCTAGTATAGTTTTCGGGTCCCTGGGGCTGCCAACCCCTCCGACCCTCTCATGTTGGCCCAAAGAAAGACAAAAAGCCTCGGAAAACTGAGGATGGGTTCACTGACTCGACCACGCAGCGAATAGATGCAGCTGGTGCGACAGGATATTTGATACAAAGACAGGACTTGGTGTGCACACCAAATAGGCGCACCCCGCTGAACATTACAAGGCGAGAAGCCGTACTGCGTACTAGGTTTATTACCCTTTCAGCAAAAAGAGCTGAACAGCTCCTAAACATGAGCAGACCACACATCAGATTGGTGGTGGGACTGCTCACAGGATACTGCCCAGTAAAATACCATTTAAGGTTAATGGGCAGAGCAGAAGACGATCTCTGCAGATTCTGCTCAGACGCAATAGAAACCGCAGAGCACCTGCTCTGCGAATGTCCAGCCCAATTCTGCAAGAGGCTTAAATTCCTCGAGGGGGCAAAACTGTCACCAGAAGAAGTGGGCCAACTGACACCCAGGAAAATAGCTTCCTTCGGCAGAAGTCTACGCTTCCTGGAGACAAATTAAGATGTAGAGTCACGCACAAAATATCTGCAAAGGTAGCAGTGCTGAGCGGCTGAAAAACCGAAACGACTCCCCCGAAATCTACAATCTACTAGCGATAATGGGGAGCGTGATGGTACACTCACTTTTTAGTAAAAATACTCAAGTCTGGAAGAGAAGACCGCGACCACAACCGCCGTGACCTGGAAGGAAGCAGAGGTGCATCTTAAACAGATTATGAATATGGAAACCGAAACCCTGCCGCCTGGGACTCAGGCTCAAGATGACGGGGGACGGGGGGGGGGGAAGGTTAGATAGAGCCCCTTTTACAATGGTTTGAACTTTCCATGTAGGTGGTAGAAATAGGAGAGGAAACGGACGCCGCCCAGTGATATTTCCTCCAGAGCTGTGGTCTGTCCATAATCAGGCGTTAGCAAATACCGACAGAACAAATATTCATGCAGAGGCCTCACACAGAAGACTATAAACAGAGCCGTCAATGAATCATCCAGCTATTTGGAAATTCATCGACAGTCTTAAAGTTATATAACGCGGAAGGGATGTTGCCTATGAACATTTGCTTGCTGGAAACGAGCCCACTAGAGAAAAACGCGTTTTTAAGTTTCAAGAATTTATAAGACAAAGCATATCAATTCAAGAAATGCTTTGTCTTTATTCTCTCCAAGTGCAGATCTTGATGCTGAAAAGAACGCAATCTTCAACTACCTCAAAACGTTTATCCTAGAAAGTTCTCTGCTAACATAAAAACAACTATTGAGATTTTGTACCGGAGCTGACGTCATAGTAGGAGAGCAAAAACAAGTAAACTTCAATCAAGGACACGGTCTGAATAGGGTTCCAACCAATGAACTATAGTTCGCCATATGTGTTCGCATTCCAGTTTTTACTTATAACTAAAAACTGGAATGCGAACACATATGGCGAACGTGAGGCCTAGTGCGGCTGCTGCGGAGGGGATACCTGTTTTTGTCGCACTCATTATGTTAAATGGCGAAAATTGCTTCCAACACGTATTCCAATTGATGAAACCTGTGAAGGGAAATATGACAAAACTTTCGAAAACGTCATATGTCAGCGAGCAACAGAAAAAAACAACATTCCCCCTTTTGGCATCTGTCTCTCATGGCTTCATTTTTTTGGCAGATATGGCAATGTGTGCGCATTCCAGTTTTTAGCTTTAGTTCATTGGTTCCAACAGCCCATACTCGAGCTACCAGTAAATAACAATGACCATCCAGAATTTCGTTCTGATTTCAATTCAGTACTGAAAAGCACTGATTGGTCTATCGACATGATATGATCCTGGGAGTCTTAAGACAAGACTATACTCACATTTTAGGACCACTAAGACAAGAACCAAAAAAAAATCTCTATGAATGAAATGATTGAAACCTTTTCCCAAAGCACCACCGAGAAAGAAAAACAAGGGACTGGAAGAAAACCAATAAAAACAAAAGTACTAACACATACTCCAAACATGGAAGAAATCAAACAAGAACATGAAACAAGAGTAGCGCGAAAAAATATGAAAACTGTGAAGAGAAATATTGCAGGGGTCAACTCCGTTCCTCGTAAAAAAGTACGAGAGAAAAAACGAAGAAAACTATCATCAAAGATTCTGAATCCGATTCAGATATTACCATGAGTACATCATCGGAGGAAGATAGAAAATGAAATTGAGGTAGGAAATTTTTTTAGCGGCATCAAGGAAAATGATTGTGTTTTGGTTAAATTTTTATCCAAAAAAAAGCGTTAAACATTATGTTGAACAAGTTTTACAGAAATTGGATAACGGAGGATCTTATGTCAATTTTATAAGGAGAAGTATGCCCCAAACTTATTTTATTTTTCCAGAAAATCCAGACCAATCACATGTTTTTTCAGAGGATGTGATTAAATTACCTGCACCTTATTTTGTAATAAATTTTTTCAAATACAATAATATCAACGAAATACATTAATATTGTTGTATTCATGTTGCAATTAAGACTATTTCAACGATATTGTCAATACATTTTTTGTTTGTATCGATCCTCCTTTTCAAAGTATCAAGCTTCCCTGGCTAAAGGAGGCATGATACATTTTATAAATTAAAAAAAAAAAAAATGAGATTACATGTATATTTAAACATTTATTTGTGTCTCCCATGAAAAATTACATATAAATGGACCTATAAACAAAAAATAAATAGTTATCATCAAACGAGATAAAAGTTATTATTTAAATAATTTAAGTGTAGCAACCCTCCTAAGTTTCCCCTCAACTCCGAGCTGTCACACTACTTACACCAAAGCCCTCTCAGCCTCAACACGGAACTGATAAAATATTGAGTCATTCATAAACCAACCTACCAGATATAACATCAAATCGCTCTAAAACACTAGTCAGTAGTTGGCACATCTGCATCTTCAGACCGCATGTTTTCTGAGGCGGGAAACATTGTTACTCCTAGTCGAAGCCGACTCACCCCTGAGCATTTAGCACGTTTGTAATTCTTAAAATGTTCAGATGTTTCTGACTGAAAAACATGTCTGTCAAAATAATATGTGTTTCAAGAACGCTTCCACCCATATCAGTTCAGTCAGACTGTTAGTCATGGTCTGATATTGTTTGCATGGATTATCCATGATGGATTTAATAGTAGGTGAGCAGGCCCGGAATCCAGTAAGCGAGAGTTATCAAAATTCTAATTGATGAAGTTCGAATTTGGGCTATCTGGGTATGCCAAAACCGACCGTATGCCGCCTCAGGTCGTGTTAGTTAACTAGGATGCGGCTTTTGAAAAGAGGGGATGCTTACGATCCGAATTGTTTTTACACTACGGCAAACAATCTTTAAGAAGAACTTTTTATCGCAGACGCCCGTCAAAATTACAGAAAATCAAGTTTACTAAACGTCGTTTAGTAAACGACGTTTATCAAAATTGATTTTTGCGCCATTTTATCCGTTATGCTATACATTACCTAAAAAACACATGACAGACGAAAATATTGCGATATATTTCCGGGCAGATGCTGCCAAAGAGACGGGTTGAGATTTGGTAAACGATAATTATCAACGCAAAATTTTACATTGTTGGTAAGATCGTGAATATGTGTTAACAATTTGGCTTAAGCAGACATATTCTGCTTTCGCCTAGAATCTGGCAGAGGCCTGTCAATATGACAGAAAATCAAGTTTACTAAACGTCACTTATCAAATTTGATTTGAAAAAATTGCATGACATTTTCAGGCAGAAGCTGTCAAAGTGACGGGTTGAGATTTGGTAAACGATAATAGACCTGTCTTGCAGGATTAGAAAAAGAGAGCTCAATTATAATAAATACAAGTTAGAAAGCAATAAAAGATGACATGCGCGCGCAACACGTAGGCTGCAGTGTAGTCAGATTGTATTGTTGCAGAACAAATGTAGACAATACAAATCGAACATTATAACATTAAAGTAGTGATATAGTGTCAAGTGTTTTACAACGCCTTAAATCAGACAAAAGAAAAGCTTTAAAGTGTATGTTAACATCGTTTGCACTTTTATTTTGATAAATGTTTCATCCGGCAACATCACTCAATGAAATTTCAAAAGAATCTGTCAAGTATAATTTAACATAACCTTAAACGACACTGCGGTGAGTTCAAGTAATATGTAGAGTATTAGTTTACTCTTTGTCGAATTACACGTTACAAAGAAAGAAAGAACGATTAATTCTGAAATGGCCCCTGAATAAGATTATGACGCAAGCCTGTCACAAACTTGCTTCTTATTGGACGCTCACCTGCAGCCTACAAGCGAAGCGCGCAGTCCAGGTAATAGGAGATCGGTCTATTATCAACGCAAAATTTTACAACGCTAGTAAGATCGTGAATGTGTGAGCAATTTGGCTAAAGCAGACATTTTCTGCACTCGCCTAGAAGCCATTTATCAAAAATTTCATATGCATCATTAATTGAAGACCTTGGCAGAAGAATGGGATATGCCACATTTTGGCGAAATCGAGATTAGATCACCGTTCTATCATAAATTTGATGTCTGTGGTCCCCAAAAAATATTATAGCGTTCAGGCGACAGAGGGCGCTAGGATCTCAAAATCTTCTTCTTCTTCAAAGGAAAAAGTAGCATATTTTTTGGGCAAGAAAGGGATTTGCCACACATTTTTAATAATGGCGGAGCCACGTGCTCGTGCAGCTAAGCGAAAATTATTTTTTTATGATACTTCTGGAAGTGAAAATAGTGATGTGTATGGCTCAGATGATAGCGTAATGGACCGAGATTATGTGGAAAGTGGAAGTAGCGATAGTTCTTCATTGGATTCGTCAGATCAGGTAAGTAGAAAAAAATGTGGCTTATCTCCTTTTTGGCGTATTTTTTGTGGCATATCTTTTGATTTTTTTGGTTGGTTTTTTCTGAAAACATAGACAATTTAAGCAAGTTTTTTCTTTACTATAATATTACAGAACTTTAGTTTCTGATACTTTTCGAATGAAAATTTTAAAATCTTCATTTTAAGCACTTGAAAAAAATTAAAAATGGCTTATCCCCTTTTTGCCTGGCCAATATTTCACGTTTTTTTGTGGCTTTTTCATTGCAGAATTTCATGAATTTTGCAGGAAGATGATCATACCGTAGAAGCACCTATTCCAACAACTACACCAAAACTTGCTTCAACAATACCAGCACGTGTTCCAACAGCCCCAGCACCCGCCCCAACAAACCCTGCACCTGTTCCAACAACCTCAAGGGGAACACTACCAACTCCAGAAAAGGCGACACCCTCCAGGTGGAAGAAATCTAGAAAAGAATGGAGAAAAAAGGACAAATCAAAAATAAGAAGAAATTTAGGGTACAGTTACAAGAGCTCGAAAGGAAATGAAATAAGTGCCAGAGAGTTGGGAGCACCATGTTCGTGCAAAAAAAAATGCCGCGAATTACTGAGGGGAAGCGAAATGAGTATTTTTAAATCATTTTGGGACCTGGGTGACTACAATAAGCAAAATATTTATTTATACGCTTGCATGAAAGCCTTGCCTAAAAAACGATCCTATCCAAAGAAAACAAAAAATCAAGCCTCTTCGAGAAACATATCAGTTGAATATTTTGTCAAAGTAAATGGGGAGCAAGTTAAGATATGCAAAAAAGAGTTTCTCTCTGTTCATGGCCTCCAGAAAAGCAAAAGAAGGATCGAATTACTCTACAAAACTTTGTCCAGTGGAGGGTTAGTAACACCTGAAAAAGATAAACGTGGTATTCACAAAAATAGACCAAACAAAACTTCCTATGAGCGTCTCGAATCGGTGAGAAATCACATAGAAGCTATTCCAAAATATACCAGTCACTATAGTAGACAAAAAAATCCAGGAAAAGTTTTTATTGACCACGATTTAAATATTTCGAAACTTTACAAAGACTATTTCATTGACTGGTGTGAGGAACGTGGACTGACACCTGTATCCGAGGATAAGTATAGACGCATTTTCTGTACCGAATATAATATTGGCTTCAGACTACCAAAAAGTGACACCTGTAGTACCTGTGATATGCTCAGAATTAAAATTGACGATCCCTCTGCCGATGCGCAAGAAATAAATCGGAATAAAGTAAAATTAGAACTTCATCAAAGGAGGGCAGAAGCCATGCAGCACAGTTTGAAAACGGAAATAGAAAACGCAAAAACTAACGGAGATACTTTTGTCATTACATTTGACTTACAGCAAGCATTGCCTGTCCCAAATTTAACAGTAGGGCCTGCTTTTTATCTACGTAAAGCCTGGGTATACAATCTAGGGATTCATGATTGTGTCACAGGCAAAGGTTACATGTACATGTGGCCAGAAAATGTTGCCAAGAGAGGTAGCGATGAAATAGCAAGCATAGTGTATAAACATTTGCGAGAAAATACGACTAGAGGGAGTAACAAAAATCTTATAGTTTATACTGATAACTGTTCCGGGCAAAACAAAAACTGGACTATTATGTGCTTGTGGCAGCAACTGGTAATAGATGGATGGTTTAAATCAGTTGAGCATCGATTTTTGGTGGTGGGGCATACTCACCTTCCTTGTGATCGAGATTTTGCATTAATAGAAAAATACAAAAAAGGCATGAAACAAGTTTATGAACCGAATGATTGGTATCAAGCTGTCAAAAAAGCAAAAAGAACAAATCCGTTTGTTGTGACTGTTATTAAGCAAGAGGATATTTTATCATTTAAAGATTTACAAAATCAAATTGTTAAGAAAAGTGTTTTGGATGACAAGGAAAAACTAAAATTTAGTCAGGTTAGCCATTTCAAGTTATGCCAAGAAGATCCAAATAAAATGTTCGTTAAACATGTCATTAACGAAGATTTCAGAAGTGTCACAATGAAAAAAAGAGGAATGAGAAATAATATTTCTTTGACTCTAAGAGATTTGAAAAGGAAATATAAAGAACTGCTTCCTTTAAATGAAAAAAAGATATCTAATCTTTCTGAGCTAGTAAAATTTATTCCACCGGCATATATTCATTTTTATCAAGAGATTGGAGCATGTAATGTTGTTGAACATCCGAATTCGGAGGAAAATGTTGAGGACCTTGATGTTGACAGTGATCAAGAAAACAAGAGCGACGATGACGGCGACGCTTATGAGTAATGCACATTGTACATTTTCTTACTTTAGAAAAATTAGATAAGTTCGTAAGAATGATTCATGTTTTTGTATATTTTCTATTTTGTTTTCTTTAAAGGTTTCTGTTTTGGCAAAATCAGAAATGTTTTTATTTTTAAGGCAAGAAAAAGATAAGCCACTTTTTTTTATAGAAAAACCGGTTTATTAAAAAAAAAATTGAATTTTAAGTTTGTTTTTTTAATGTGTTCAAAAGTAAATAATTTTGTCATGATATGACGATTGTTTCAATTTTGTACAGTTAAAATCATGATTTCAGGATTTGATTGGATATTTAAAATGCATTTTTCTCAAAACTAACTTTTTGGGCATATCCCCTTCTTCTGCCAAGGTCTTCAATTCATTATGTCATATATTACCCAAAAATATTATGGCAGTCGGAAAAATTGCATGACATTTTCGAGCAGACGCTTAACGCAAGATGATCAAGATTTGGTAAAAGAAAATTACGGTTTGAGTGACGACTCAAAAAATACTAAAGAATCGACTTTGCTAAACGATAGTTATTTAGTATATTAATAGGTATATCTATTTTTCCGCCATTCGATCCATATCAGATCACTTCGTACCTTAAAACTTCTGACACTGCTGAATAGATATGGACACATAACACAATTAATTATCATTTACCAGAAGATCTAGACTGAACTCACTTATGCATCAATAACAAATGATAACATCATCTCAAATTAAACATTGTGGCCTAGCTTTTGATAACTGCTGTGATAGATATGTCGAAACTTTTAGCCGTAAGGACAGCCTACACGACATTGTAGGAACATTTCATCGAGATCAATCTTCAACTATATTACTACATTTCCAGGCAACTTGGAAAAAGAATTGCAGAACTTACATTTCGTAATTTTGATATACCTACAGGAAAGAAATATAGAATCGTACAGGAAAAAGCCGGAAATGACTGAAAAAACTGCAAAGAAACTTAAAACGAAAAGTTTTAGAAGATTATAAGAAGTAAAACCTACTATTCATAACTTCCAACGCCATTTCACCAGATGACCTACCAATGTGGGTCGGATGGAATTCAAAGTTCCACGTTGACACTCGCCCCCGTTAGAAGATCTATTATTTGACATGAAGTTCCTACATCAAGAGCTGTTTTAGCAGAAACTCTTGATAGGTATGGCAGAAAAAATTGTGGAAGAAATAGGGAGAAATATAATCACTGTAACCTATGACCTTGCCATAGCAAAAATTAATTTTCAAATTCAAAGCACTGAATCTTCTTTATATGATATCATTTTTATATAGTTAGGCGTTTTTCATGTACAAATGGAATATGTACTTCAAAGCAGTTAGCAAAATTGAGGACTCAGGAATTACAGATGTTTTGATAGATGCAAAACTTATAGTAGCGGGCTGGACAAAAGGAATGATTTTGTGAACTCATTTGAATAGCTGTGAAGGACTTCACACGATATTTTGTACTGCTTTAGAAGTTCTTCATTTTAACAGTTTTATGAAAAGATATCCAGAATATAAAGGTATATCTTAAACTTTAATTGAGAAACTGGATACTATACAAAGAGAAATTAAAACTCGAAGATTTGTCAGTTGAGCTAAAAGGTTCATTGTTTTACCAGAGCCAACAAGAGAGTCTTTGAGAAATATGGCACAAGAAAACTTTAGGAGGTGGAATTTGCCTAACTGTATCGGCTTTGTTGATGGGAAACATGTGCAAATTCAATGCTCACAACTTACTGGAAGCACTTACTTCTCTTACAAGAAATGGAAATGGACGCGTAACGTGTAAGTGGGAACGACCGGTAAAGGAGAAAAAAGAATTCTCGTAACATTGCTCGTGTTGTCTAAATTTTTTTACAATACGTCAATTTAAATCCAGCAATAAGGAATATCCCGTCAAAAATACATTTTAAATTAATGTATATTTTGGTTTAGTTTAGTACCGCTGGCGCTAGATGTGTTATTCTGTCAATAGAAGCTCAGTAGGCTATGGATAAGTTTGAATTAAATTGAATGCTACTGAACAGTAGCAATGAAGAACTCTTATCAGCATTTGGTTGATAGGGTTCTTTTAAGATCAACTTTGAGGTGCAAACATCGACGAAGCAGGCGTGAATGTACCATCAAACGCAGAGCAGACAAACCCTTCCAGAATTTTTTTTATTGCAAATGTTGCAAAAGTAATATTCGATCTCAGGCTGTGTCTTTTTTTCGAAAATCCCAATAAGAGATCAATCAAGTCTTTTTTGGGACTGGTCCTGCAAAATGAGCTCTGGAGTAGCTACAGCATCATCAGGAATTACCAAGAGCAATGTAATTCAAACTTATAGATTTTTGAGGGACATTTGTTCTTGATATTTGCTAAGAAGACCTGGGTTATTTAAACTTGGTAGGTATTGATTTTTTTTTATTTGAAATTTAAATACGATGCATTGTCGACAACACTGCCGTATACTTGCTACTACTATCGTAATTTTCTTTAAGCTATGATTGACTCGCTCGCCAGCAAGCCGGATCCACTGGTTCAAATCCGAACACGCTACCCTTTTCGAATTAAATTTAAATTAACAATAAAATTTAATTTCCAGGTGGCCAAGGACATGTAGTGCAAATCGATGAGAGTGTACTAACGAAAAGAAAATTCAATAGAGGTTGGTTGGTAACGGAGAAATGGGTTCTGGGAATGTACAATGTTACATCTTAGAAAGGTTACATAATAGAAATAGACACACCCTAGAAAAGGTTATTATATCCCAAGTTTGACCTAGAACTGAAATCTGGACAGATTGTTGCAGGGGACATTATTTTCTCCCACATTTAGGCAGAGGTTTACAGTACGTCGATGGGACTGTAAACCAAAGTAGCAACTTTGTGAAACCAATAGACGGAACGAGTACCAATCAAGTTGAGGGGTTATTGGTCCCGATTAAAGGGATTCCCAAGACGTTCGGGAGCTATGCAATCATCATTTTTCCAAGAATACGTTGATATGTTCATGTGGGTCCAGCACTATGGTCGTACGCCTACTGAGGCTCTTTTTAGTATTACTGCTCACATGAGCCATAAATGTGCTTTAAAAAAAATTGAACGCTTTAGCCCAGCAAAAGATTACAATTTTTCCTATAAAAAAACTGCTGTAAAATTTTAAAGAACATTTTTTTTTTAAATAGGTTGAGTTCGTTTATCACATAAATATCCTCCGCGAGCATTTTTGGATTCGTTTATTTCAACCGAGCAAAAAAAAGCAATGACATTTGCGTTCGAATATTGCATGACAGATTTCCAAAGTTGACCGAGAATACCTATCTTTTGAACTGCATGTGGGTAAATCGAGAAACTAGATCTTCAGCAAAATCTTCTGTTTTTTTTTCTACAATCCTATGGGTTTTGTCAACCATCTTCGTCAAAAAATGAAATATTTGCGTAGTGCAATAAATGTGCCAAAAAAGAGAGATTTTCCATAATTATGGTTTGCCAATTGCCAGGCCAAGATAGAAGTACTATTTATCGAAAATAGTATTTATTGAAAATATATTATCTTTATTTATTGAAAATATTTTATCTTTATTTATTGAAAATAGGGACTCTCTTAAGGTTATCGAACGTGGTAGCTGTGTTCCTTAGCCTCCAGATACAAACAAGCGAATATTTAACGGAAAATCGGGTTGTTCGACGGTACAAGGGGTGTGAACGAGTACCGCCCCCCCTTGCGTGCGTGTGAACGCGCGCCTTAAAGCAACCCAGGTGAGCCCCGATGCCCCTGAAAATGTTTGTTTTTATTTGAATTTTGGTCTGTCATTGCCATCAGCTGTTGTTTCGCCGGGTCTACTAGTGGTGCATTCGATAACGAATACACCGTATGATCGTAAAAATCCAAAATCCAAAAATCCAGTGCAACGTTCCACCGTGCTTCCTTACTCTGGTTGTACTAAGTCGGGCAGTTTCCGGCACATTATTGAGCAGTTTCCCAATTTTCTCAGCCAGTGCCTTTCTGACCGGGACCAAATTTGGTGGTACGGACGGGGTTGGAAGAAGGAAGACAACACTACCGTTACCCCTTCGAAATCCCGACAAGGTTGGCCCTAACGGCCACGTTTCGGGGGAGTTCGGGTTATCTCCCTACTTGCCTGTAGGAAGGCCGCAAGTTTGAGGCCTCATTTCTCAGCTCTCTGTGGAGCCAGCCGCCTCAAACTCAGCCTCTGGATTACAAAAGAGACACCCTTCGACTTTCCACCCCTAAATCCACCAAGTTCACCCTTCAACCACCTACCCTTTCTTGTAGGGGTTGTTTCACCCTTATTGTTGCAAGGAAGAGCACATAAAACCCGACCGTCGCACAGCATCCCCATATTTACTACCCCTACCACTATTCTGCCCCCGAGCCATATAACAGGCCATCTAAGCACAGCTTTACCACCCTCTACAGACCTATTAATCTGCCCTCGAGGTCTCGCAAGTGGCACCACCCATCCACCCCACTTCAAGTTGGGGGTGAGCACTTCACGCAACCCCCCTGGAGGTGTCACAACCCTCCACAGCCTACGAAGGCTGTGCTCCGCCATGGAACAGCTCGAATGTAACTGCGGGCGTACTCTGAGAGGACGCACGGCGCTCACTAAGCACCAGAGGTATTATTGCCGACTGTGAAATGTGCGCGACTCAGATGAGGAAGAACCCCCCCATACAACCAGAGGATGGAATTTGAGGACCGCCGAAAACTAGCCTCTTGGTCCAGGCAGGAATCCTTTGACCTGGCCAGGATGGAACTAGAACTAGAAGGCAATCCGTACAATATGAACCAAATACTCCATCGGAGATTCAACCATAGGACGCTCGAATCTATAAAAGGCCACAGGCGAAGTGCGTCCTACAAAGCCTTGCTGGCCAAGAAGAGAGCAGATCGGGAAGAGGCGGCTGAAGTTCCAGAGCCCCCACCACTACCTCCCCCCTCCCGATATTCCACAGTATGAGGTACTTACTCCGAT